ATACTTTATAAAATAAAATTAAAAATTTAAATTAAACAAAATAATGAATAATACTAATTAAACTTATATAATCTAAAACTATTTAAAGTTAAAGGTTTTTGTATTGTGATTAAATAAAAAAAGTTTGGTACAAAACTCTAAAGCTTATAATCTTGATGTATATAATTATAATAGACAAAATTTTTTTAAAATAAATTAGCAATTTAGTTAATTATATTAAAATAATTGCATTTGCAAACTAAAATGCTTTTAATATTGCTAATTTATCTTTATTTTCTGTACAATTATTATTTAATATTTCATGTCATTTTAATAATTTTTTATAGATATCAGATGCAGTTAGACTATTAAAAAATTAGTATTCATATATTAATTTGTTAGTTTAATATAGCATTCAGAAATTATAAATTTAATACTAACTATAAAATATATTATATGTTTATATTTTGTATATTTTCCATCTTCAACTTCTTAGAACTAATTAATTAATTATAATTTTAAGATATTACTGTACAGAGAAATTATTTATTTATTATATTACATAATATATATATTATATCTAAAGTAATACCTAGCTAAAATTAATTCTGAAATTAGATCTTTATGCATACATTAGGTTATAATTTTAGTTAAGTTATTACTTAAGATATATTATTTTAAATAAATTGTTACTTCAAATATAATATATATATATAAATGAATTTTTTATTAAAGTATAATATAGTTCAAACTACATATTATAAACGTTAATAAAATACATTTTATTATATTTTTGAGTTTGAATATATATGTTTCTGATTATTTATTTTTAGAAATGGGTGATTATCAATATTTATTATTTCTTATTATTAAGAAATATTACTATTAAGTTTTTTTATATAATAAGCAAAAAATAACAACAGTATTTATTATCAGATTGTATTTGTGAATTATAATAAGTAATAATAAGTACTGACATGTAAAAATATGTAAGGTTGAAAAAAATAAATATTTATAATTTACTTCTTATCTTACCTATTTCAATAATGTAATTATCATTTAATTAATCCAGTAAAAAATTTTATAAAAAAAAATAAAAAATGCAAAATATCAGATAAATACACAAATCAATTTGCACTGAGTTACTAATTTGTGCATCTAAATTCTTGTTTTTACTGTTATTAATTATTACAACTATAATATTGCTTATATTTGCATTTTTTTATATTTAAATTATTCTTTGTAATCTCATATCCAAATGCATGTTAATCTATATGCATGTTGAATTTATACATGAAAAATAACCAAAATTTAATAAGTAAATCACATAGACCAATCAAACTTAAGATTTTATGACCAAATTTATTTAAAAACATCATATAAGCCATATAATTTGTGATTTCATTACATCCTTCTTGGTAATGCTTTTAATAAAACTCAAATATAATTGAATCAGATTTGTCTAATATCAAATAAAGACTTAAATTTTTGGATGTAGTTTGTATTGACACCAAATACCTCACAACCATATTGATAAAAAATACTTTATTTAATTGGGTAACATGATCAATTCCTGAGAACAGTTTAAAGTTTAAAGAACTTTTTTCAAGATTATTTTAATAATTTAATAAATGAAAGTGAATAATAAAATACTGGCTTTTTTCTACTATGTAGTATCCTATTATTAAAATTACTTTATAACAACGCCAAATAAGAGGCTGTCCTATATAATTGCAGTATTATATTATTTTAACACAATAGCATTATGGTATCTAGATACAATAGCATTATTGTATTTTGACATAGCGGCATTACAGTTATGGCATTACGGTTACGCATTACGGCATTACGGTTACGGCGTTACGGTTACGGCATTACGGTTATGGCATTACGGCTACGGCATTACAGCGTTACGGTTACGGCATTACAGCTCAAAGAAATTACGGAAAATAATACGGCACACGCCGTAACCGTATTAATTTGTTAAATGAATTCTACCGTCAACTATACGCAGGACTGTAATTCCAGAAGGAGGTGACCGACGTGACACAGTAACCAAATAGCGGCTATGTTGATCATTGCCCGAAATGGGTATAAGAACGTTCGAAATTGATTCTTCGGTTAACATCATCTCCCAGCAGAAGGCTCCCCAGAAAATGAATAACCGATTAAACGCTGGATAACTCTCACCAATCTCTTGATTTACATTGACCAATCAAATTGTCTCATATTAATTTTATCCTCCCTCCCCTCTCCCTCTCCCTCTCCAAGAGTTCTAAAAGTGATGTTAACCGAAAATTCAATTGCGGCCTAAGTTGTAACCGTTGTATTGGGTCTTTAAGGGATATCAGCGTTATAAGAAGAATAAGTGGGATAAAGGGTATAATTATAATAAACAGTATAGACATTATAATTAGTATATGCAGGACAATAAATATAAGTGATATATCGCGAATAGAGTGTATAATGTGCCCTATGTAAAAGAAAGTATATAATAAAGGCTTCGAGTCCTATCAAGAAAACATTCATAGTTCGTGATAAATAACATTCGTCTCATGATAATTCACTGCTTTCGCTACATCATAATAATACCTACGATCATAAATTCCCCACTCGCCAAATCTAACACGCCCTTTTCAACTAAGCCGAATCGTAGGTTACACGACGTACCCGATTGTGGAGCGACCGACACGCCGTTCGACGTTGTTACCAGATTGAACCAAATTACCGTTATTCAAAAATTTGCCGATCCGACAATTTATGATTATAATTGGTGGTGAGTTGTCGGCTGAGTTTTAATTCGAGTAAACGTGAATATTTTGTAACAATAACAGAGAGAAATAAATTCATGTTTATAAGAATTCGTCAAGTTTTTTTCACAATTTTTTTGAGTATTATAAGAAAAGCAAAAAATGCAATCTTCTTTTAGAGATCATCAGCGATCTGCTGGATGTATTCAATAGGCTAGATAATATAATATATGAGATCTTTCCGATAGGGATAATTCGAAAAATTTAGACCAATATACTGGTTATCATTTATATAAACTTTTGAATCAATGCAAATAAGTACCGGTACTTTGGCTTAAGTTTGTCCGAATTAGCCCGATTAGAAAATGTCAAACCTATGTAATTAATGGATAATAAACTGAAATTCGGTTGATTCGTTGATGTAAATCAATTGCCGGGTGACATTTTAAAGTACTTTCTGAGAATGTAAAATTATACAAGCAAAAATCGTCACAAATCTCATTTATATCTTCAAAAAAGTGCCAGAAAGCTAAATTCAAAAATAATCTTTTCTAATCTCTTGTTTTGAGAAGTTAGCTTAGACAAGATATTTTGAATAGGTAAAGAAAACGCGTGGATTGTTAATGTAGTGGTTGCGCTCCCGGTTCCTAATCGGTTCGAGTCTAACGGGAGCAAGACTGCCAGGATCACGATTGTGAAGATCAACCATGGTCAGGTGAAGCATTAATAATAAGAACAAGAATCAGGATTCCTCGCATCAGGACACTTCGGCTGAGATTCACAGATGAGATTCCGGTTGATTGATGTCTACCCCAGCAGGACCATGGAAAATGCACCGATCAGATGATCTACACTAATTCTAATATGCGCAATATTTTTAAAATCATAAAACACTATGTTATCGAAGGAAGGAATATCTTATCATTATACCAAAATTTTGCAAGGAAACTTTTTTATTAGTACGTTGAACATAGTTTCATAAACAAAATTTTGTTATTAGCAGTTTTTTTAAAAAATAGTGATTTTTACCGCTACACCTGATCCGGAAATCTCGTTAGCATCACTTATTAGAAGAGATCTTATTGGTGCATCTTTCACGGTACTGCTGAAATAGTTGTTGATTGACACAATATTCGGACATTTAAAAGAAAATATCCAGTACCCCAGCCCGGAGAACTTAAATGTGAGGAGAGCTCCTCAATGCCGAAAAAGGGCTGATGGAGAGACTAATATTGTCGCTATATATGTGCGCCGAAATTGCCCATCTTAATAAAGAAGTAATTACGGCATTCCAGCAGCTGAAATTAGTCTTATATAGTACCGAAATTAATTTTCATATTTGCAGAAATTATTGCCGAAATTTTTTGAACTCTTTTTATCAAATACATCATATAGTATAGTTATATTTCAGTGGGCTTCATATAAAAAATTTAGCAATGCCGAAATGTTTGCCGAAAATACTTTTTTTTCGAAAATAACAATTTCGTCACACATGCATAATTGTCGCCACACGGTGTCCTGAGGCCATCCTGCCGATAGAGTTAAAAAAAAATAGACAAAAGAAAATGTTACTAACAAAGCAACAGACTTTTTTAGAGATTGAAATTTTAAGTTAGATTTTTGACAGTCAGCTAACAGGCCAAATTCTACTTATATCACTAAAGAAATGATTACTATCCTACCAGATATAAAGTTGTAATCAAATTATCACTTCGTTAGATTGTATCTGAAGGAGGGACGAAAAAAATCAGATAAAATAAGGTTAGCTAATCGCACAGTACTGTAAATGACAATTTAATTATTTGACAAACTAATTTACATTTCGCATTTTATTCGAGGAAAAAGTTTCTATGATACATTCGTACCGAGCAGTTAATAAGTATGATATGTTGTCGCACACAGTCTGAGATTGGATTTGGAAATAAATAAAATAATTTAAATAGGATATTTGTATAGAAATGAATATGAATTATGATACTATAATGCATGACCAAATGAACCAATTAAGCAAATGAAATATAACTTTACGTAATAAGTCTTTGTTATTTTACTTAATATGGTTGTTTCGTGTTTTAAAACCAGTTAGAACATTATTTCAAAGAAAATAGATTCCCAATATTGCTTTAAATTGTAACAGTATTAGTATGCATTAAGTAGTAAGTAAATAATGCTCACCACGCACACCTTGTGCATTTTTCCGAAAAATACATCTTTTGTTTACACATCTAAAAACACATGAACACATGGCTGATTAAAATAATGAAAAAATTTCCCGTTACGCACTGCGGAAAATTTTTTGAGCACACTTTTTTTAGACATTTTTTATAGGTATTTATATAAATAAATAAAATTAAAAGCTAGGGTTTCTAATAAGAGTAAAAATGCATTTTAGGGACTTAAAAAGAAACCCCAAATTTCATTTTATAATGATTTGCATTTATAACACGTGATTCGAGAACGATGAGTTATAATACGCGTTGTAAATTAGTAGCAGATCTAACGAGGGTGCAATCCGCTTTTGCACAATAAGAAACATGGTTAAACACTGATTTCACCCAACGTAATCTACGTAGCGGGGGTTTTTTTTACTAATTTTCTGTCTCCTGTCATAATTATATAATTAGACTCATATGATTACAAAGCACATACTTTGAGCCTGAACAGGCAGGATAATATTTCTAGGATAAAAGTTAATAGATAAATTAAGAAATCTTGAATCACTTCTTTGACAAGTTTAGATCTTTTTAAATACATAGACATAAAATTCATTCCTATTAACATGTACTTGAAAATTTATTGTAAAAATTATGAAACCTGATATCTAATTAATGAAATGTTGTGATATATAATAAACACAAATTCACAAGGCAGACGATATACTGTACTGAAAATATATTTAAAAATTGTTTGAATGGATATTATGTAGGATTTTTTTAAAAAAAAAAAACCGAAATGCATTTTTATAAATGCGTATTTTATTGGGCTAGACCAATTTGATTTGATAGTTTACATTACATCTCACGTTCTAAAAGGAGAAGAAAGAGAAATGCGTGATTTTGTAATAAATGTCGCGACTGATGCTGAAATTTGAACCTATTTTGATATGAATTTTTTTTAAAAAAACATTTATGGTTGAGTTAGTGTTTAGGGTTAGAATTGATAATTAAAGATTATATGTGGATTTTAGCGGTGCTTATATTCTCAAATCTCAAACGAACAATCGAATATTTATAATCATTATAATCATACGCATGACTATACATGCTGGCAAAACTAAAAATTTCAAAATCCCACCCAAATCCCAAATCCAAAATATAATAAAATTGTTCCAAATCCCAAAGCCCAAATCTCATCCCAAATATAATAAAATTCGTCTCAAACCCCAATAGTTTTGCCAACAAGTATACGCATGACCTTTTTAACGTTAAACTTTCTGATTACGACCCCAAATTTCACATCAGCCGCGACAACAAATTTTTTTCAAAAAACGTTTTTGGATCTCTTGCAGTGTGAGAAACCCACTTTATAATAAATGGGCATCTATGCAACAAGAGAGCCCTTTTTCAAAAACACCTTTAACCATATAAAACTTTTCTAAAGACCTTCAATCATATATATTTACTCTAATTTAGTTTTAATTTTACAAAAGAATAAAGAAAAAAAAATACAGGTAGGTAATATACAGTAAATCACCAAATATATGTACGTAATTGGATATGTAATTGGTTCAGTCTTACATTGATTGAGTTGACAATTTCGTCAATAAGGCGGATTTTCAGAGAATGAAATTGCGTATAAGTATTTAAAGGCTTTGGCGTATCTCCAAATTTAGCAATAACAAGATAATGATTACGAATCATATAGAAGTACGTGTTTAACAAAAACATAAGTACGCAGCTTTTGAGTTAATTACTAGCGCCTATCGAGTTATAAATCATAACCATGTGAGAAATATAATACTACCCAGCTTTAGATTATCATCAAACAAAGTTTTATAGTTAGGGTTAAGTATTGAATTCGTGCAACATGACAGGTTTAAATGTTATTTTATTTTTTTTTCTTCGTTTCAAGCACGTGCTATCTTCTTTATGGTATGTACCATCACACAGCTGCGTAGTTTTATGCTTAAATTAAGCAAACTTTTTATAATTACAATGTACAAATATTGATATCACAGGATACGCAAATCTCGCCAATCTAGAGGATTATAAGCTGATCATTTCGGGGCTATGCGGAAATCTGATTTCCGATGGCGTAGGATGATTACTCAATGCGCCACCTAATCAAATATTGGTAAAAAAATTTTAAACAAGGGTTACCTTGGGTTACCTTTCTTTTATTATACAGGACGGTTTTTTTTTGTTCATCTATAACGAATCTTCTTAGGTACAGATGATATTTGGTATATTTTGAGATTAATCATTAAAATTAAATCAAACAAGAAAAATTTTGTGAAATGATGGTGCAAACACTTTTTTCTAAAGCTTTATCCCTGACTATAATCTAAATTTTCTAAATTTTCAAGATTTTATTAAATCAGATCATTTATGGCATGAGCGTCTTCTATACAAAATGGGTCACACATGATGTACAAATATGGTAATCGATAGATAGAATGATTATCAATAATAAATTTTGTAATGAATAAAAAAAAACAATGCTAAAAATCCAATTCGAATTTAAGGGAGACCCTAGATCCCAAACCCACTTTCCATTATTTTCTTAGAGCTTCCTTTTGAGTATGATGGTAGCACAGAGATATAATATTACGCACGTACGTAATGTAAAATACATCAATGAGCAAAGTTTATTGATAGAATTTGCCAAATTTAAAACTTCTAACTTTAAACCCAAAATTTTAGTTACACAATTTGACTAACATTTTCTCAATCAACTTTTAGTAACTTCAGAGTAACTTCAAGGTAAAAATATAAATCAATTCGGATCTTTTTTTCCATAAAAAACACCATGTAATTTTCCTAATTTTGATCAAAAATAAACACATTTGTAATCATATTCATTATTATTTTGCGGATAGTTCAAAAGAGGAATTACTCAACACATCTATTCTTTTTACTAATCTAGTAAAATAAATAATCTTTATTCCCGTCTAATTATATCACATGACGGAGGTTTAAGTGTTATTTATCACCACCCCGGGCTCTGTTCTTTCCCGAAAACATTAAAAATGTAAAGGGAAACAAAGAAAATATGATTGGAACGATTAGTAACACGAGTCCTCGTCATGTCATCATATGAACTCATTTATTGTACCATGGAAATAATTGAAATATTCCCCAGCAGCGCACTAATGGGGCACAAAGCGCCTCACATATGCCACTGGAAAAACCTTGTTAAATGGTTTAATTGAATTGCTTATACTAAAGAGTTAACGCGTATAAAAAAAAATAAAATAAAAATAGAAATAAGCCCTGATCAATTATACACTACTGTATTTTTTCGGGGATAGTAACTCCGAATTCTTCTTTCAAAATTTGTGCAGTTGTGTACAAAGCAGCCAAAGAACTTTAAAACGTATTTATCGTATTATTTATTGTTTGATACGTGTAAATTTAATAATGAGATTTATGCATGCACATGCAAGATAACATTGCATAGCAGAAAATATTGCATCATATTAGAATTAGTATTGTTACCATTACTTAATTTATTAACTAATCCCGTTTTCGCTCACTCGAAGCCTCTGATTGACTATTTCATTTTCATTTAATAAAATATTTGCATAGTACTAATAAAGAAAAGGCCAAATTAGACCGTGTCATTATCATTCTCGTTTTCATTCTCAATGATAGCATTAAAAAACTACCAAAATTATCTCTTGTCGTATAAGTGATCCCCTTTGATAAATATATTATTAATTAATCAATTATAAATTTGAGATCACTTATACTGAAGGGATCCGAAATCTTGTATATTCTTAATGCTAATAAAATTTTTTCAAAATAGATCATATAAAGTAATTGACATAAATGTCTATATGAATCCCCATACAAATTCCTATGTGAATTACATTCATCTTGATGGACATTGCCGAAAAACTTTATCTTTAAGATTATAAATAACTTTATTTGATTATTAAAATAGTTGTTAATTATTTAAAACTAATGTAATTAATTTCTTATCTGGAATAGCGACTCCGGTCAATATGGTGAAAATTATATAAGCATTTGATTTCCCTTCCACTTGCTCTTTGGTAAACCCATTAAACTTTTTTTTCGTTAGGATAATGATCTGTACGTTGACCTTAACTTCTCCCCTACCTAAACACTCCATAATTGGAGAATCAACTGTCTCTAAACATACTATATATTTCGCGACCTGTGGGGAGGAATATCATGTCATTTACTCTGGTTTGTACGTAAAGTTTGAAATTCCTGACTTGGAATATATCAAACAATTGAATGACGAATCCAAAAGTACTCCAAATCTCTTTATATTATTTCGATCAAAACTTCAACAATGCATTTCGGCTTTAGGATTAAACACTGAATGGGTTTTTATGTCTGAGATCTCTAAAAAACTCTGGGCTGACATTAAAAAAAATGATCAAAAACTTGTATCGTCAATTCGAAATGTATATAAAGTCAGTAGTGTACGCAAAAAATCGAGGATTCGTTTCAAACCCTACGATTACAAACCAAAAAATTTCGATAAATCGAACGGCAGCGAACAGAATCCTGAATTTTCTTCTACCGAATCTTTACATATGAATGAACACGTCTCAGTCGTCACCCATAGCAACTTGATTAATAGTCAAAACGAACCATTAAAACTCCTCCTAAGGGAATTATTCGAAATCTACTAAATATGAACTTTTTTAAGATATATTTCTCCCGGAGAAATCTTAAGCTATACATTAAGATAAAAAAATAATCTAAGTTTTGCGAGCAAAACCTTTCGAAATTTTTGGGCCCATATCGTGAATATGATCAGTTCGATAGATAATTTTTATTAGTATATTTTAAAAGTTATTATCTATATTATAGATTTACTAATAGGCTTTTTCTTATTGAATCTATTCTAAGTAAATTTTATTGTACAATATTTAAGTTTTAAATAATAAAAGTAAGGACATATACATATATATAGTATTATAACTCTATGTGCTGTATGACTTCAATATTATAAAAGACTTGGTATCTAATATAACATCTATAACTTGATATCATTAAAAAGATCCTACTGTTATATGTTTAATGTCCTGTTCTGTCAGGATCTCTAATAAGCTACATATGTATTAGTTAGTGTTTCTACAACCGGACTTAAACTAAACTTTAGTCAGGTGAGTCTGGTTTGATTTTCAACTGAACTCAAACTTTTATATTCAAATTTTTTAGTCAAGTCTGAGTTTGGTCCTGGGTTTGGACAGAAGTTTGCAAACTAGTGTTACGGGGTACTAGGATTTATTCGCACATCAGCAAACAGGAGAAATGCGACGAATTGTCGTTCCAAATTAGCCGACGTCGCGTAACGTTACTCAAAAGTAAAGTGAGGCGGATTCGATTTGGCGACGTTCAAGTGTATTACAAGGTAAGTAAATGAACTTTTAAAGAGTGTTTGATTTTTATATGAGTTTAGAGCTCTTTATTAATGCTTTGCTTTGTATAAAATACAAGGTTATTTTATTATTGTAAAGTACATAAATCTTACTCTAATGTTACAAAGAGAATTTCACCTCTATTTATAATGAAATTTTCTGAAAAAATGAAAGAACAAGATTGAAACTTTTATTATTTTTCTGTCACTGAAACTAAGCTATTTACCTTTATTTGAACTAACATTTATTCTTCACACATATAATCTTCTTCATATTAGTATTTTCAAAGAGAAAAAAAAAGACAAATCTAAAAATGTTTCATCTTTATCGTTACATAACTTATTGATTCAATTGTTTAACATAATTATAGTTATATACTAGCTATTAAAGTAATATTACTTCGACAGTTGTTAATCCATATTAGGAAACAAGCTTGAACTAAGTTCTAAACATAATCATTCAATAAAGAGTTTTGCATATACAATTGCAAGAAAAATTGTTGCTTAGTTTCTCAATCTGAGGTTTTATAATACAATAGTTTCATATATAATGTTTAGTTTATTTTATAATAATGTTTAAGATTTTAGAAGCATGAATATATTTATAGTACTAGTTTTTTTTTGATATTAAAGTAAAGCCTTGCTTGTATCTTTATTAGTAGTTTTGAAGTTAATAACTACATAAAGTTATTATATGTAAATAGTAATTGATACATATAAATGCTATTGTTATTGTCAAGGCCAATACTTGCAATCAAAATTAACTATTAAACTATTAATTATATAACTAAGCTTTACAAAAATAAAAAAAATTACATTTAAAAATAAAAACTCAGATATATTTATCTGTAAACTAAAATTATTAGTGATTAAAACTCATCTAAATTTAAATGATTAAAATATGATTAAAAAAAATATTATATTTGATTCAAAGAATAGTCTTTATATTAATTTTTCTAATAGTATATTAATAGGTAAATATGTAATAATATTAGAACATACTTAATTAAATAATTTAAATAAATAAGAGTATATATAATTAGATTAGTTTGTTTTTTTTGATATTAAGGTAAGTATCTGTAATTCAGAATTTTATTAATAGTATATATTGGTTAGCATCTGTTGATCTAACAAACACAAGACAATCATAGAAAAGTATACAATTAGTCACTTGTACAATTTTAATCATTGTCTAATTTAAATAGTCCATCTAAAGATTCTACACTAGTTGCTATATCTAGAACCCATCTGTAGATTTTCTATTTAAATATTCTGATCTTATATCTACTATATTCTACCAAAAACTCTGGTAAACTAGTGAAGAAATGTCATAGTTATTAAGTCATATTTAACTTTATACTAAACTTACTGAAGTTTTTTATATCTCATACTTATAGCTAACCCAGTATCACTTTGGCCTAAACTATTACTTGCAATCAGGGTTAACCATTAAACTGTTATACTTTTGTAAAGTTCACTAAACTCTAGTAGTACCTATTTTTCCAACATCTTTTCTATTTTTTCTAAATAAAAGAGATAGAAAGATTTGTACTACTTTGTTTAAGTATTTCAAAGTAGGTAATAATTCTGACTAGAAAATGAATATTTGTAATTTGGTTTGTAGTTTTTTTAATAGCTTGGTTATAGCTTAAATTGAAGATTTTATTATTTTGAGCTGCTGTTTGAAGGAAAGCTTTAAAGTATTCATAGAAGTAATAGGTTTGATAATTAATATTATGATCAGTTTTGTTGATTTTTATAAATTGTTTTTCAGTAGAATCAGCAAGTTCTTGAAGAAATTTAATTAGAGTTGGAATTTTGAATAAAGCTGAATCTTCATTATCTTTATAAAAGATTAAGAAATCTAAGGTAGGATAAATTCATGCTAGTTGATTAGATTTGGTAGATGGAATTGATTTGTCAAAAACAGGAGCAAAAAATTTTTTAAAAGATTGATCAAAATAATATATAAAGAGATTTTGAAAATTATGTTCAGTATCAGATAAAAGAACTGTGCATTTGTGTTCATCAGAGTTTTTGTAAGTATGAATATGAAAAAGAGCAAGTTTTTTAACTAGTAGAGTGCACTCTAGAAGAGATGTAATAGATTTAATAATAAAGAATTAGGATAGTAGCTTTTTATGCTCTTTAGCATATTTAGTTGCAGTTTGATATTTAAGAAACTTAAGAAGTTTGGTTTTAATAATATTTGAAGAGTGATTTTTATAAATTTCAAAGAATTTATTAAGCCAATTTCTAAAAATTCTCTATACAGTTTAAAGAAAGGTATTTGAAAAGAGTTTTTAAATTTTTCAGTGTTAATATTAAAAGAAATATTAACATTTAACTTTTTATTGTTTTGTATTTGAAGTTCATAAAGTATTTGATTTTATTAGTATAGATTTTTATTTAAAATTATCTATAATTCCAAAAAAAATTATTTTTTTATCCAAAAGAGCTTTGAGAAACAGTTCTTAATATGATTAAATAGCATATGCATTTGCATTTAATAATACCTAATATCTTAGAAAAATTTTATCAGCACATGAGATATGGCAAAATTCTGTAAAAGAGATATATAAATTTTGTGATAATAATAATTTAAAGCTTCTTTGAATCTATATATAAAATACTGTAAACTGCTATATAAACAATTCTTCTACATATCAGACATTCTATGTATTATTCTTAGGTCTATAATATGGGATAAAATTTTGGTAAAATATAAAAAACCTAGATTTTCTAATATTTTATTCCTATTTATATACCTGGATATACAAATAGAAATAAATATTAATTGCCCAGGTAACTTATTTATATAGTTTAAAGTACTTTTTGAGAATGTAATATTTTACTAATAAAAAATTATATAAAGACCATTTCTAGCTTTGAAAGAACATTTATATTTATTATATAAAATAATCTTAACATTCTTAAGAACTTTACTTAGAAACAAGTATTCTGCTATTTATTATTATACTAAGGCTTACATGCCAAAAATTGTCAATTAAAAAGGCTGATTGAGACATTTATATATAAGTTTTAGTCTTGAAAAACAGTATAGAAATCTTGTTTATGTGTTATTTTAATAATATTATATGCTTAATTCTTACTATTTATCTTGCCTATTAATTAAAATTATAGAGCTAAAATGTTGGGTAAACAGTTGTAATCATGTTTGGGTTACTTTAGTAGCAAATTAATACAGTGTATGTGAGTTTTATTGTGCTTATTAATTATATAAATTAAGCTTATAGTGCATCTCTAATAGAGTTTGTGATAACTAAAAATAAAATAAAATTATGTTTTAAATATAAAATTAAATGTAAAGTTTTGTAATGATAAAAGTTTACTTATAAATTTTAAGATTTAATTAGTTAATAATTATGTTTTGATCAAGCTATACCAATTTTAAAGAAATAAAGTAAAGAGAATTTATAGTCATGTTTACTTGTAATTTCTTGGTTAGTATAATCTATAGATCTTTTTCTTTTTATTTTATAGAATTATTTAGTAAAATATGCATTTCTATTCTCTAGAGTAAATGTGATTTGTATTCATTATATATATGCATATTTATTTATATTAGAGTTCAATATTAATGCAGTTTTTTATTAAGTTTAATATTAGTATGTATTAGTATATTATTATAACAAAATGATTAGTATTTATTATTAAATTAAGACTTTAATTACTTTTGATATAATAATAAATTTTTTAAACATGTGATTTAGTATTTTTTAAGGTACATATTTTAATACAAATGATTAGATAGCACCAGAGGTATTATAATGTAGTTTTACAATGCTAATAGTGAGTTGTGTAAATACAAATAAATTTACAAATTTTAATAAATGGATAAGATTGAGTTACTTTATATTGTTTATACTTAAAATTTATTATGCAATAAATTGTCTTTAATTATTTAATTAACAGTTTATTTAAAAGCTAAAATTATTCATCATATTTATTTATAATGAGATAAATTGAAATCTCATTATGTTACTAGATTTCTTCTATTCTTAATATTCTATTTTGTTGATTATATTGATTACACTTTCTATGATTTAGGTGAATGAGAGGTTTTTTCTTAATTTTATGTAAAAACATGTTCAGATATTTCATCATTATAATATAAATCTTTATAACTTTCTTGGTTATCTGAATTAAATTGCTCATCTAAATTTAAATAATTTAATATTTTCTACTTTTTTTAAAAAAAGATTTTTTTTATTCTACCTTTACTTCAGCTATCTTTATCTGTATTCTTTTCTCAAATATAATTTTCATTTTCATTTTCATTTTTATCTTTGCTGTTATTATTTTTATCTTTATTATATTTATTTATACTTTTATCACTTTTATCATTGCTTTTATATTTGCTTCTATTTTTGCCACTTTCATATTTACTTCTATTTTCATCACTTTTATATTTACTTCTATTTTTATCACTTTTATCTAAACTACTATCATCAACACTACTATTGTCTTGAGTCAAATTGATAATATCTTCATCTTTGTTTACATTATTTATATTAATATATATATAGCTACTACCACCTTTATTTTGATATTCTGAATTAGCAACCAACTATAATTAAACATTATATTCTCTTCAGATCTATTCTGTGCAATAGATATATCACAGTACTTAAATGACCATTGAATAAGGGCAGTGTTAACATGATTCCATGCTGCTTTTATCCATCTGGCCACCAAATTATAGATAAGTTATTAAATATGACCTGCAGGTGTCAATTTTTTAATTTTTTCTCTCATTCAATTATAATAATGCTTATGATACTTAAATTAAAAAAAGATGTATTGTCATAGCTAATACTAAATTTGGCTAAAGTTAAAACTAATAAACTAATAAATAATTGATATTGTTAACCAATTAGATATATTAATTTTAACTTTAGCTAAACTTATATTAGTTGTAATATTTATTATTTAATTATTAAATAATGCTATTTTTATATATTTAAATAAATATATAATTATTTTTAAAAACTAATATTAATTTACCTTCTCTTTAAAAAACTTAATGATATATACATAAACCTATCTAGAATAATTGCAAGATTAGTATTTATTTCTTTAAATCTATTTTTAACTGTGTCTGTAAGATGGTTATGAAAACTATCTAAAACAAGTAATAAGCAGAGATCAAGAGATAATAGAGCTTGACAGTTTCAAATATTTTCAATCCAAAAAATCATTTCATCAGAATTCATGTATTCTTTTAAATTAGTTTGTACAATAATTTCTGATGAAAATATTTGTTGTAGTAACTTCACTAATTTAAAAATTATTATAGAGAGCAATTTAGTACCATCAGTTAAACAATTTAAAACAACTATAAAATTAGATTTTCATATCTAGTTGTTCGAATTCCAATTGTATAAACATCAGTTTCTTCAATTGTATAGTTGTTAAATATATCAAATGCTAATAGTGCCTCATTATATTTCTAATAAGAGAAAGTGAATATTTATGAAGCATTTAATAGTATAACACATTACTCAAAAATGCATCTCTTAAAAGTTCTAGATCCTCTGGCAGTTTTTATACTACAGTAATACAACGTCTATTGCTTAAATTATTTTGGTACATAAAAGCTTCTATCTATTTGTTACTTTACTTGCATTCATTAATTGTAGGATAAAATAAAGTAAAACAAAGTTGTTTTGCTTTGGTTTTAATTATATTTTGAGATACAAGCTTTTGTTTTGCACATAAAGATTTAATTTAAGCTAAAAGATCTACTTCTAAAAGTGGATATTTAGAATGAGCATCAACATTTAACTATTTAATAGCAGATGAGATACTTTTAAATTCTTTTTTTTTTAAATTCATTCACACAACTGATTTGGTGTTATATTAAATTTTTGAGCAGTACCCCATTTGCTAGCCAGATTTTTTTTATAGTATGTAATGATTGCTAATTTTTTGCACATGTTTTAGCTTCTTTTTTTTTCTTAATAACCTTTGCATGTCTTGGAGTTTTTTTTTGTGATGTTCTATTTTACTTAAATATTTAATATATTGATATATTAATTTATTTTACTTTATCATTACTAACTCAAAATAAGAAATTCTTACTTTTGTACTTTGGTTCAAAAATTTGTTTTATCCAGAATAAGACAAAAGTGTAAACACAATTAAAAATTTTTTTTTATATAAAGTAAATAATAAAATAATTATGTATATGCATTTTAGATTAATAAGTCAATTTTAGAATATAATGTTTGACCTTATTATCATATCTTGAATAAATTATATAAATATCTATGCTATCTGTTTAATTTCTATTAATTTACTAAGTTTATAAAATGTTCTAATTCTTTTTTTTTTAATTTATAACATGATTTTTTTTCAATTTATTAATGTGTTTTTTTTTTTTACTTATAATAATTTGTAATTAAACTTGTAATCTTTAATTTCTTTACCATTATTAAAAGTTTCACTTTTAATATTTGAATTTTTGAAGTTCACTTTTAATATCTGAATCTTTGAAGTTCACTTTTATTAAATCAGGTTGATAACTGAGCTCAAGTTCTTAGCTAATTCAGGTTTATAACTTATTACATATCAATATATATGATAGTTAAATAATACACTCATATTTACTAATAGTTGTATGCATTTTAGTTTTTTTTTTTTTTAAATATTAAGGTAAGTACTTGTAATCCAGGATTTTATTAATAGTATATTTGGCTAAATGGTTGCATTACAACTACAGAAGGCAACCATAAAGAGAGTATACAACTAGCCATTTGTACAACTTTAGTTATTGTCTAATTTAAGTAGTCTGCCCAAAGGTTCTATACTAGCTGCCATATCTGGAACCCACTTGTAGGTTTTCTATTTACTCACTTTGTTTCCATATCCACCTATCTACTTCTGTTTACCAATGACTCTGGCTGATGTCGATAAAAAAATAACATAGTCACTAAGTCTTTAAAGCAGTTCACTC